TTACAGTCACCTCAAAAAACGGGCAAAAAAATTTAAAAATTTAATTTATCAGCTTTTTAGTTCATTTTTTGAGATCGCTGTAAGCAGATATAAAATTGAAGACAAGCTGCGCAGTCACATATATACAACATTTATATCGTCATCACAAGGAAGACAAAGATTCACAATAATGACATTCGACAAGATGAATTTTAGTGGGAGGTTGTCCTTGTTGCTGCAGGAGTCATGCAAGTCTTGCAAAACTTTGATCGCACGCTCACAGCACTAGTTCCTTTGGTCAATGCTGATTGGAGAATCATATGTTTATCAGTAGTTTTACAAGCATTTGAAAACTTTTGAACAGTCATTCAGCCCTGCAGATAGTTCATCAAAATCTTTAGTGCGGAACTACCGACTGTGATGTAAACTAATGGTAAGTCTATAAGATTTTACGCAGCCTATTCCGACATTCAAGCATCAGAATAAATGCAAGAAAGAAATCTGTTGAAACTTCATATAGAGGATCTCATTCCTCCCATTCCGAGATGACGTAAGACACGAGGGATTTTGTTGCGACAACGCTAAAAACGCGCTTCACAACATTTCGTTGGCAACTGATGAAATTGGATTTGTGGTAACCTTATTCTTCGAACATTTAATGTAGCCTAAAACAAAGATTATTTTCTTGCTGGCATTTACGCTTGATGTGTTGACAATAATCATCAAAATTAATCCACAATGATGTTCTTTAACACATCATTAAATCTTTCTTGAGCTTTCTCATCTTTTAATTTAATTATTTTTGCATCATTCTAGAACGCGTTTGTCAATGTGTTTACTGTCAAAGTAAATGGTCCGATCCTTCTGTTGAAGCACCAAGGGCTTCTTCACTTAAGCAACTTTTGTGTTATAGATAGCCTGTTTAATATTTGACTGGAATGAGGTTGGAATTTCAACGTCTTTATAAGAAAGTTAGTGGCTCACCTTTGCTGCTCCATAGACGACAACTTTAAACTTTTTTTCGATATTCATTTTATATACAATTCTTTGGTACATAAATTTTTTCATATAACACTTTTTATTGTAGAAAGTATGCACAAAATAATTCACTCTTAGAAATGCTAAAAAGTATACTGTGTAACAATTAGCAATTTTGATACCAAGTTTTAGTATCAAAATTTATTGTTATAAATTGTCTAAAGTTATTTTTGTAATGCATTGATAACGTAAACTTACGTTTAAATTATTGGCTATATACACATTTTTGTAAACTTAACTTTAAGTTTGGGAAAATATCAAAAAATTTGGTGCGGTGTAAAAGTTCATAAAAATTTCGAGAAACATGAAAAATATCAATTTGTTGTTCTCATTAAGCTTAATAGTAAGTGTATAGTTCCTTAAAGTATTTGTATTTTTTGAAGCCAGTTTATTTTAGCTAGAGCCATATAGACAGGTTTCACGTAACAAATTTATTAACAAGCAGTATTACATAATGATAAACTGTTTCTTTTATTAAGTTTTTTTTATGTTATATATCATTTGGTGGTGTAATAAAAATAAGTACATTATTCTTTTTTGAAAAGGCTGGAGACAATTCTGAAAAACGGGGTTCACAGTGTTGTACATTCAATTGTAATTAAAGAAAACATAATGGGAATAGGTGGAGTGATAGTAATGGAATCTTTGATGAAGAACCGTTTATAAAAATAAAGTTTTATAAATGCCTTATTAAACTATTTTTAACATATTGTTGAGTTTTTGATTCATAATAGGGTAATTCCATATGACTTTTTATTTTTTTGTGTGTGTGACTTTAATTTTTTTTGTTTTTACATTTAGAAATACTTAAAGCGGTATTAAGATTATCTAAAAAAACAATTAATACGAAAATATTGCTGTTATATATATTATATTATATTTTAGTCTAAGTATACATACTTTTAAGTATACATATTTTTTTATCATTTTATATTTTTCTGTGCTAATGTCGACATAGTTTAAAAAATATACAATAATTTTCTAAGCACTATACTCTAGATAGAAATACTTGATGACTGCTATTTCTCATACGGGCAGAAATGAGTAGCCGTACAAAACATATGGATACATATACAATAAATTTTACATATTTTGCCATAAAACAAATAATAGCTACAATAGAAAATCACATTTGTCAATAGAACTTAAGTCTGCTTCAATTTATGCTAATTTATGCTTCAATTTATATTAACCATTGACTCAAGAAAAGATCGTCTGGAAATAAACAATAACGTCTTTTTATTTAACTACTAGATTAGATTAGATAGTATTTATTAGAACAAATAATACATGGTTTAAAGGACACGCAGGTCCATACTGTTAGACAATAACAGTGTGCCTCAAAACAAGTTATGTAATATCGGGCAATGGATAAAATACAAATAAAAAATTTATATGAAAAAATAACAATAAGATATGCAGTTAACGCAAACACAACTTTACGATATTGAATGAGTTTACTTCTAAAGATACTGATATTAAAGGCATTAACAACATCTGAAGACAACTGGTTCCAAAGCTTAAAAGCTTGCTAGGAGAAACTTTTTTTGCAAAAAAAGTTGACATTGTTGTTTGCGCATATTTTATTTATGATCTCGCGTGTTGTTTTTGTTTCAATAAAAAAAACTCAGATTTATCAATTGATACCAAGTTATCAATTGATACCAAGTTATCAATTGATACCAAGTTATCAATTGATACCAAGTTATCAATTGATACCAAGTTATGCAGAATTTTGAAGTAATTCGATAAATCATGTTTGAATCTTGAATTCAAGCAACTGAAGTCAGCTATATTAGGTTAAATTGCGAGGGTAAAGGAATTTTTGCGAGGGTGAAGGACTTTTTTTCGTGAAACAATTTTGCTCAAAACTCATTTAATAAGTTCAGTTTGATACAAACAAACTGGGAAGTAATATTTTTATACTAGTCTAGTATAAATAGTAAAAACACTTCTAAAAAAATATGGATCACCAAGTTATATATATATATATATATATATATATATATATATATATATATATATATATATATATATATATATATATATATATATATATATATATATATATATATATATATATATATATATATATATATATATATATATATATATGTATATATATATATATATATATATATATATATATATATATATATATATATATATATATATATATATATATATATATATATATATATATATATACTCAAAACATTTTAAAATAGGATATGCTCTAGTATAAGCTGCATGGAAAACGTTTAAGGTACACCAGCATACATTTTCTGGAAACTGAAAAAAAGTTTTGATATTTAACTTATTTGATAGACAATTTATTGTAGATTAATAATATAAAAAGTTTGTTCCTAACTTATTTCTTAATTTTTCCAATAATTCTAACAAGTTCGAAAAAAACCAACTAAAAAAAAGTTTATATATACCAATCACAACAATATTTAATCTTTTTTTGAGTTTTTCTCCGATTTCAAATTTTGTGAAACATTGTCTAATTATAAACATGATATCTTGTGAAGAGAAGTGAAAATCACTTCAAATTTTCAGGAAATTTTTGAAAAATTTTAAAACTTTTGATGCATTTTGAAAATCCTAAAATCCGAATGTCAATACTTTACTTTACATGTAAAGAAAATATGTTAAAACTTTCATGGATTTTGTGTTAATATATTTAATTTGTAAATTATATATGTAAAATATTTAAAAGTTAATATGTAAATATTTTTACAATGCCAGGTGCTAATTTTCAAAAATTGAATATCCTATCTTACAAAGAAAGATATATTCTGAATGTACTTTTTCTATATATAGACAAACGTTCCTGTTAAAACTAGACAGAGAGAAGTGTTGCCCCAAAAGGTCTTGAATAAATAATTTTTAACAAAAGTTTAGTATCGAACGGTTACGGAAGAAATTGCTTTATTTGAATCATTATGAAATAAAACTTTACTCAAATTTTCAATTTTTTTTAAATTTAAAAGTCATTGGTGCAGCATTTTTAGCTAATTTTTTTACACTGAAAAGGTCAGTTATAGAAAGAGACGATCGAAAGCCATATTGATTGTCAGAGAGTAAGTCAGTTAATGATTAAGTCAGTTAATGAGTAAGTCAGTTAATGAGTAAGTCATTTAATGAGTAAGTCATTCCATGACTAAGTCATTTGACTCAAAATGAGATATAAGGTTTTTGTTATTGAAAGACTCAAAAAATACTAAAAATAGTGTCTTCAGAGTTTAATGAAATTGATCGCATACAATTTCTTAGAATCACAGCATCTTTAAAATATTCGTTTTGCTGCATTTTTTAGAAAATTCTTATTTAATTTGTAAAGTAATAATAAAACTCATAAATAAATATAACCTAAATATACTAAATGTTTGTACGGTTTTGTATGTTTAAAGTTAAATATATATAATAAAGTGTGCAAGATGAATATTTTATAGAAACGGGGTTCTTTTTTTATCAGGGCAGTATTATACTCAATTATCTCTATTATATATTTAAGTTTTTTATGCCCGATCATACATTTCTATCATTTTTAACGCTGTAAATTGGGACCTTGACAATCTCGGCAAATGTTTCAAAACTTAGACTTGATAAAATTATATACACTACCTAAAAAAACCTTTGAAATCAATGTTTTAACAAACAAAATTAATTAAAAGAACCTAAATTAAAAAAATCTTTAAAAAATTCAGTGGATAAAATTACGAACAATCAAATTATAATTTACTTGAAAAAAAATCAATAACTTATATAACGCATGATTAGCATAAATATTCTAAAGTGTTTAAGTTTTTTTAGGAAACTTATTTTTTTCTATGTTTATAAAATGTTTTTTTTTTTATGTTTATGACCTAGCATAAATTAACAATCAAGCTAATTATTTCTGATTACATTTTTTTAAATCGTATTGTTTACTTGAATAAAAAGCTGGAAAGAGTATTTAATCTTATATTACGTGTTTACTAAACTTAAATGTTCTAATGCTGAGTATGTAACATACGGTTTTTTAATTTTGGTGTCAATAAATGCCGTTATAAAACGCGTTCCATGGTTGAACTTGTTAATAACAAAACAAAGTAATTAAATTTTGTTTTTTTAAGTTGTTAGTTGTTGCTGTTAATGTAATTTGTGGTATATTTATATAAATTATAAAATACTTATAATATATAAAAAATATTTACACACACACACACAGATATATATATATATATATATATATATATATATATATATATATATATATATATATATATATATATATATATATATATATATATATATATATATATATATATATATATATATATATATATATATATATATATATATATATATATATATATATATATATACACACACACAGATATATATATATATATATATATATATAATATATATATATATATATATATATATATATATATATATATATATATATATATATATATATATATATATTATTAAAGTGATAAGAAAAATCACTCTAAAAGCTCCGAAAATTATCTTTACAAAGATCTCTTTGAATGTGACACCCTCGAAATTTGTCGACCTGACAATTGCCAAGGGCGCCATACTCAAAATCCTTTTTTTAAATGGAAACTTAAAATCATAGTGAAAAAGACGCGCTCAAAAAAAGTATAAATATGGTTAAAAAAAGTTTAATTAAATTTTTTCTTTAATAATAATAATTAATTTAATATAAATTAATTTGTTTATTGACTAAAAAAGTGATGGCGGATTGCGAATTTGCATTAACTACTAGTTATAAATTTAGTAAAGGTATTATAATATTATAAAAATTATTATAGAATATTAAAAATATTTACATTATAATATTTAAATAATGATTTTTTTTTTTTACAAATTGTAGGAAAATATGAAAATCATTATTTTGATTGTTACATATTTATTCCAGTGTAAGTCATCTTGAACATTTATGATTTATAGGTATTGTACTTCATTTATCGGTATTTAAAGTTATATTTTTCTAATTTTTTAATTTTATTTTTTTATAAATAATTTTTTATGAAAAATATCATTAGTAGAAATTTTCTACTGCAATAATAAAAATATTTATATAAGTAAATGTTTTAACTAGTAAAATGCTGATGGGTCAAAGCCGGCAATGCTAGGTAATCTTCAAAAGAGAACTTTATAAAGTTTTTAACGCGTAACAATTCATCCGGCTAATTGTTTTGTATGCTACTAAAAAAAGATCATAAGTTATACACCAACATTCTTTTGTTGGAGCATTTTTGAAATCATTTTGTTTAGTTCTAACTCTTGCTAGCCTTTGAATTATGATTAATTGAATTTACTGAAATATGATGTATTTTAATATAAAAATTCTTGTGAATATATTTTAAATGTGTCAGTATTTTTAACCAGTGTTTTGCAATAAAACAATTAAGCTTTGAAGTGTATGATTATTAAGTGTATGAGATGTCTTTTCTACTCCTTTAATTTATTTTTACATTAAAATTAATAATTTTTTTATATCTCTACTGGATCTTTTTGCTTTTAAAAACACCTACGCAACGCAAACACGCCACGCGACCACAAAATTATGTAAAATTCTAACACATTTTGTGTTTAACTACGAGTCATCAATGGTCATAAGAGTATAGGATCAATGATTATATGGATCAATGATTCACACATATCCGTAGTTTATATACCCACAATGATTTACACTTATCAATCTATCATTCTTATTTCTCTTCCTTGCATTATTTTAGCTTTAACTGTCTAAATTTATAAAGTTTTATATCAGATTGAGGGTTCTAATTGATTGAAGTTTTAAATTGAGTTCAAGAAACAGTTATATCCTAAATTGAAAACATATAAACTGTTTTGGTTTTTGGAAATATTTCCCAAGCAACACAACACGTTGTGCCAACGTTCGTCACGTTGGTTCAACAATCCAGACGTCGTTCTGAAGTTTACTTTTTTTACCAGGTAATTGCTATCTTAACTTATCAGTGCAAAAAAGTTTTTTTTTGGTTTACCGTTGATATCTAGTTTTACTTTAACATTATTAGTCTTTTCTTGAAATCACCTTTTTTATTTTTTTTAAGTTATGATTGACAACTCAACGAAATATAATGAATAATAATAGCCAGTGTATTTTCTGATCATTTTAATTCTTTTATTTTATTAAAAATAAATAAATAACAAAAACACAAAAATTCAAACTGTTTCAAAAATTGTATTAGATAAAGTTGAATAAAATGTTATGCAATGTAAATATTGTATATTCTTAACATATATAGCATCTATAAATATTTTTTAGTACATTTACAATCATTATAACAATTTAAATTATATAAAGAGTCATAATAATAGTCGAACTGTAGTGGTGTAATGGACTGTAGTGATTTAGTGGACTGTAGTGGTGTAATGGACTGTAGTAGTGTAAAGGACTGTAGTGGTGTAGTGGACTGTAATGGTGTAGTGGACTGTAGTGGTGTAGTGGACTGTAGTGGTGTAGTGGACTGTAATGGTGTAGTGGACTGTAGTGGTGTAGTGGACTGTAATGGTGCAGTGGACTGTAGTGGTGTAGTAGACTGTAGTGGTGTAGTGGACTGTAGTGGTGTAGTGGACTGTAATGGTGTAGTGGACTGTAGTGGTGTAGTGGACTGTAGTGGTGTAGTGGACTGTAGTGGTGTAGTGGACTGTAGTGGTGTAGTGGACTGTAATGGTGTAGTGGACTGTAGTGGTGTAGTGGACTGTAGTGGTGTAGTGGACTGTAGTGGTGTAGTGGACTGTAGTGGTGTAGTGGACTGTAATGGTGTAGTGGACTGTAGTGGTGTAGTGGACTGTAGTGGTGTAGTGGACTGTAATGGTGTAGTGGACTGTAGTGGTGTAGTGGACTGTAATGGTGTAGTGGACTGTAGTGGTGTAGTGGACTGTAGTGGTGTAGTGGACTGTAGTGGTATAGTGGACTGTAATGGTGTAGTGGACTGTAGTGGTGTAGTGGACTGTAGTGGTGTAGTGGACTGTAGTGGTGTAGTGGACTGTAGTGGTGTAGTGGACTGTAATGGTGTAGTGGATTGTAGTGGTGTAGTGGACTGTAGTGGTGTAGTGGACTGTAATGGTGTAGTGGACTGTAGTGGTGTAGTGGACTGTAGTGGTGTAGTGGTAGAGTACTAATAATAACAAAGAGCATATTTCCTGATCATTTTAATTCTTTTATTTTATTAAAAAAAAAAAAAAAAAAAAAACATTCGCATTGTTAGCGGTAGGTACGTAGTTCATACCTACCACATCCCTGTTCAAAAGTTTTGCACTTAACTTGTTTCTAGTAAAAAATCAGCACCAATATAATGATATAATGCAAATATAATGATATAATCTTGAATGATGAACGCAATCCAAACTTTTTTTAATTAAACAATGCTTGTTTACTTCTGCTGAAGAGGTATAGTTTTTAAACTTAACATTAGTTATGCATACTTTAGCATAACTTAATGTTTAGTTATGCATAATTAATTATTTAGTCAATGCTAATTTAAAACAATTATTTGCATAATAACAAGTAATACATTTTCGATATTACAATATTAATAATGCATATTTTTTATTTAACTTCATTTTATTAGACGGAAACTTTTTCTCAACTACTCGTTTAGACCTAATACGTTTTTCTAATGATGTGGGTTAGTATAGACGATTTCGGAGTTAGCGTAGCCATCTTGGAAAAATATTCTTGGGGGTGCAAGTTGAACTTTGAACCTTCCGTTTTTATGCAAAATGTCATATAACAAGTATGAAGATTTTCTCAATTTAAGTTCAAAAAAACTCATAGATTATTTGTCTATTCGTGGTTTGAAAATAACTGGAAAAAAATTTGAACTTGTTGCAAGAGCTTTTGCTGCTAAGGAGCTTAATCTTGATATTATATGTTCTGCTGAAGATCAATATAAAAGGCTTCAAATCAGCCAGTTGTAACAATGGGAAATATTTTTGTTTTTATTTTAAAGAAAAAAGAGTTTAATATAAAATGTTTTTAAAAATTTTTATATTATATTTTTTGCAAAATTACTATTGATAAGTATAAATATGTTTATACTTGTTAAGTATAAACATGATGTTTATACTTATCAATATTAATTTTTACCATAAATTTATAATTTAACATCATAATTATTATATTAATCAGGGGCCATCCATAAAGCACGTCATGCAAATAGTGGGGTAGGGGGTCATTATAAAAAGGATAAAAAGGGACAAGGTTTTTTTTATTTCAATTTTAATAACATGGAAAACTATGTAAACATGTGTTTTTGAGAAATTATTGTTAGAGAATATATTTTATTTTTCAAAAGTATGGCAACAGTTTCAAACATCCTTGTAAGATTTTTTTATTTTTAAAATAGGGAGTGGGTACCAATTTTATAAAAAATGTCACAAAAAAAATTTAACTATTTTATTTGTGATATAAACAAAATTTAATACAAATTTTTAAGCATTTGCTCAAACTATGCAAGTTATTACATAAATAATATTATAAAGGTAAGATATGATCCAGCAAAAAATAATTTATTTCAGGTTTAAAACCAAAGTAGTTTCATAAATTTTTGATGAAATTGTATCCGATAATCACAGTAAGTTATTCCAAGCCTGGTAAGGAAACAAGGCAGTATGAGCATATCCATTCTGTATTGTTCTCATTTTCAGTATCCGTTAAACCTTCACATTTAAAATGGAGCCAACCTTCACAAAGATTACATTGGATACTTTTTAAATACGATTCTTTGTTTGTGTCAATTTCACACTTTTCTAACAAAACATTATCACACTTACAACAAAATATTAAAGGTTTAAAGTTTAAAAGAGCTGGACAAACAAAAGTTTTGTAAAATATATCAAGATTTGTGGAAACTTTATTCCAATGATCTTGGTTGAACTTAACTTTTTGAACAAAAGTTTCCTGGGTAGTCCAGACAACAAAAAAACATTCTTTTATTTCTGTTATTGCCATTTGTGAATTAACTTGTGTGTAGTATTTGTGATTTTCCATTAAAGTAATTTTGCCATTGTTAACTGTTAAGAATTCACAATCATTTACTGATTCTGATATTTTTTTATCACGAAGACTATACGAACACTTGATTTCTAAAATACTTTTACCATGGCATTTACAAAATACAATGCCATCAGGTGATGCAGCTAAATAACATTTAAATTTTGAAAGAAAAATTCCACATTTTTCTGCTCTAAAATCCTGATGTTTTGATATTTCTTGAGCATAAAAACTTTTAAATGCAATATCTTCATGTTAGACTCCCCATTTCATAGAAGCACTAGATACATCATCATAGTAAATTATTTTAGAAACAAGAGGTGTAGTTTTAGGTTTTATTGACCCCTGTGCTTTTAAAATTGTATTTACTTTAGTAAAAACTTCATGATGTTTAGAAGCTGTTAACCTTCCACTCCTTATTTCAAACCACAATAAAACTTCTGACTGTCCTCTTGTAGCTTTTTCAACATTTTCAATAGTCTTTAAAGACATATTTAGTTTTTCAATAAATATCTGAATTAATTCTGTTTCAGAAAACTGAGAATATGCTTTTAAAACATTAAGTGCAATGGTTTTCACAAAGGCATAATTATAATGTTCTTCATTAGTTGTACTAAGTGATTCTATGGATTTAAATAAGACGGCTTCTTCGTTTACTAATTGCATATCCCTTATGAAATTTGATATATGGTTAGAAGATATTGTCCTGTGCGATATAATTCGAGGATCAAAGTTATTTAAATTTTTCATTCTATTTTCTTCACAGTCATTACTTAAAGATGATTTAGTTCCAAGTTTTTTAGAAATAATCAAATCTGAAATTCTTTTAGGCTCCACATCTTTGCGGGTTCCAAGGTTCCATTGACACGCTGTTTCAGTACATGCAGGATT